CATTTTTACTTTATTTTTATATTAAAATATATTTTAGTCGTTTAATAGGTAACCATGTAAAATATATCTGTAATTCATCTTAAATTTATTTTAATAATTTAACAAATAATTATTCTATATGTCATGATTTAATTTTATTTATACTTTAATTTTATTTTAAATGTTTAAAAATTAAATCAGCATACAGTATTGTAATATCCGAACCCAAAATTTAGTCCGGAATTAATTTTAAATTTTAAAAAATATATAAAAATATAATTTTAAAATTAATAAATTTTTATTTAATGTGAAATTATAAAAAAATAGGTTGATGATGAAATTGAAAATATATGTGAAAATTTGTGTTTGAATGATGTTTTTGAAAGAAAAATTAGAAACTGGGGATCAAAATATAATTAACAAAAATTGCGCCACATAGGACCGCTCAATCAGTAGCCCCGATGAACTGGAGCACACTGCGTGACAAGGCACGCTGACTCGGTGCTACGTGGGAGGCCACACTTGCGATCCACGTGCCCCGCGATCGAACTGCCCATAAGCATTCCTGCACGCGTAGACGATTCGGATTCGTTCTCTCTTTATGTGCGATCAGACAGTCGCGATTAAACGTGATGAACGATCCAGATTCGTTCTCTATTTAAATGCGATCGTACGATCGAACTCAAATCGCGATGAACGGTCTATATTTATTTTCTCTTTAAATGCGATCGGATGGTTAAGATCAAACGCGATAAACGGCCCAAATTACTATGAGACATGTATAAACATCTCGCATCACACCGAACTCAAACCCTAGCCGCCACCCTCTCGTCGAAGAAGAAGAACCAATCGCTAGATAAGATAGCCGATCATTGTCCGCTGCCGCGCTAGAGCCACCTCCGATCGCAAAAAAATGTAAAAATTATCCTATATGTTCATAAGTTAATTTCGAGCACCCCTATGACCAAATCGGAGTAAAAGAAACGGCATATGAGCCGGAAACCATGGGTAAAACCTCAAACTGCATTCGATGAGTCTCTTCCCATTTTCCGTTTCATGCAATTTTTCCACCATTATGTTCACTATTTTGTTTTCTACCGATTGACCGAAGAAAAACGCTCAGTCGTGAAGGTGAGCCAGCGGAACCGATGCACGAAAAATTCCATCGCTAGTAAGTTTTTATTTTTTGACTTTTTTCGGTTAACCGATACTCTCTAACATGTTTTCTCGTAGAGATTAGTATAAAAACGGCCGAAACCAACTAAAACTGGCTGGAAATGGCCAGGCCAAGGCAAACCGCTGCCGTGCCGGAATTTCAAAATTGGCCAGAAAAGATTTTTAACACCGATTTTGAATTTTTTGAGATATTTTTAGGTACATGAAACGTGTTTTTATCTATGCATAAAAATTCAGAAAACCCGATGACCGCTAGTAGGCGCAGTAGAAAGTTTGGTGTTTCGGACACCAATTCGGGTAATAATATTTTACCTTATTCTCTATTATTTAATTGAAAATTAATAATTGATAATATGATATTTGTGTAATTTGAAAACTTTATGAATAATTACAGGTTACTAATAGAGCTTAAATTGGTTAGTCATTTATTTGTTGTCATGTATAACTGATTGTTAAATTTACAACTTTAAATACATGATGACATATTAAAATTGTTAAATGATTTAATTGTGCTTCATTTATATATATATATATATATATATATTGATTGTCTTATATGATTTATGACTGATTTGTGAAATTGGTAATTAATATGCAAACATAAAATTATTTGGAAATGAACAGTAATCTTACTGGATATCATATAAAATGGTGGACGAACTGAGTACATAAAGAATCATACCGTGAACGTTGCCTCATACCGGATGGGCTATCGAGAAATATTCTTTTTTGCACTTATATCGGACGGGTATAGAGACAACCCGATTCACCCTCATACCGAACGGAGCATTGAGGGATAATATTTTTTGTGCTCATACTAAATGGAGTGTGAGAACGGCCGGTTAGTTGACAATATTGGATATTGGTTCACGCGTAGTGGAATATCCCAATTGGCCCCCAAGAATATTAGTAGGCAAATAAAAAAAGAAAGTTATTATTATATCTCACTTGAAAATGAGATTGAGATATTATTTGCGTTATTGTATATATAGGTCAATTTTGAAAATATCGCAATGGTAAATATATGCAATAAATGATTTTTCTTATAATAAATGAATTTACTTAAATAAATAGTTCAATTGGTTATTTTTCTAATTTTTACCAACTTTCAGTTTCTGTATCGGTTGGTAATGTGATATTCTTACTTGCTATTGTAACTCACCATTTCATTAACTATTTTAAATCAATATAACCAATACCCAGATCCTGATCAACAAGAGGGTTGTGAATAGTTCACTGCCTGAACTCTCTTCAAAAATTAGTGAATGTCGTCTTATAATACTCAGTATATTGTCTTTTATTTATTTATTTGATTTTCGTTTGTTTATTCTAGAAGAGACATTTACATAAACTTATTGGATATTCTAAATTATTGTATAAACAATGTAAACTAAAAACTCTATTATTTTGTTTCCGTACTTAATTTATAATTTTATTTTATTTTAAGTTATGGACCTTTACAATATTTATGTTTTTAATTATTCTATATGTGATAGATTTTGTTGTTATATTTTTATTGTTATTTTTTTTTACATATGTCATAATATTAATATAGACAACAATAAAATTAAATATTTTATTTTTTAATTTTTTTCAAATTTAGTTGTTATTAATTATCATACCATATAAATTTTATTATTATTATTATTATGCTATATACAATACGGATTGATGTATGAATATATTTATATTGATCTGAATTTTTGTTCAAAAATAAAATTTAAGGCAAAAGTATATCTCTTTTTTTAAGGCAAATTTTTTTTTTTTCTGTTTTTTTAATGACGAAATCATTTTATTGATTTTTTATTGTATTAAAATTAGTGCAATGTAACGGCCCCGGAAATATTAAAATGAAATGAGTATTTAAATATATCAAATGCGGAAGCGAGATCAAAATTTCAGTTAACATCCCTTACACGAAAAACCAAAAACGTACTTAAAATATAAAAGA